GGCTGCGGGTGGGACGACGGCGAGCGAGCGAGCAGGCCAGACGCAAGCCGAGCGGCGCGGGAAAGACGTCACGAGGCTGAGGGGGCGTGACCGGCTTTTCCCCGGGCCGCTCCAGTCAGAGAGAGAGAGAGAGAGAGAGAGAGAGAGGCTTTGTCCTCGCGGCCAGACTATTGTATTTGATCCCCCACGTTGACGTCAGCCCCAAAGCCCGGTGATTGGCGTCAGGGGCGGAGCCTGCGGGGCCAGTACGCAGCGCGCGTGCGCCAGCCGCTGGACGCGCGCCGGAAGCACAGCCCCCGCCTGGGCCAGCATGGAGGAAGCACCGGCGTCTCCGGGGGCGGAGGTGGCGGCGCCCGGGGTCGCCATGGCTACCGAGCCGGGGGCCTCCGAGTCCGAGGTGCCATCGCTTGTGGATCGTTACTTCACTCGCTGGTACAAAGCGGGTAAGTGGGGAATTAGGTCGGTCTCTCCTCGGCCGCATTGGCCTGATGGCGTAGGGACTGCGGTGACCCATCAGAAGCCGCGCGCGCCCTCCCGGCCCTTCATCCCCACGTTAGAAGGAACTGGACCTCTCTCTTGCCTTCAAGCAGGAGGGAATGGGCATTTGCAAAGGCGTGGAGGACTGAAATGCAGCAGGGAGCTTCCTGGGGCTGGCGAGAGCTGTGCGAATCCCTGGGTGGGCTGCTTGCGGCAAGACCGTAGTCTGAGGTGAGGCCCCCTAGTCTAAGGCGAGGTCCCCTAGTCTGAGGTGAGGTCCCCTAGTCTAAGGCGAGGCCCCCTAGTCTAAGGCGAGGTCCCCTAGTCTAAGGCGAGGTCCCCTAGTCTAAGGTGAGGCCCCAAGGGAGGCAGGGGCCCGATTACAGTCTCCTGCAGTACCTTAAGGGAGTGGGGCACAGTCCTCTAGGGAGTGGCACTACATACAATGACTGAAGTGATCAGGTCGTAACTAAGGCAGAGGCTGTAGGGATGGAGAGAAGAGGGTGGGTTAGAATAGAGGCATTTAGAAAGCAGAATCTCTGTGTGTGTGTGTGAGAGAGAGAGAGAGAGGAGGTTTACTAAAGCTGGGGACAGTGAAACAAGGAAGGGCCTAGGATAGAAGTAGTAATGGGAGAGAGAGCAGGCGGGGCTGCTTTGACTCTCTGGAAGCCTTATTGTTAAAATTGAGCCTAGGTGGGGCTGCTGTCATCTTACTGGAGTCAGAGAAAAAGGGACGTTGGGGATAGGGTCAGGTCAGACTAGCTGCCGCTGCCCATTGCTCCCCTGGTTGCAAGTCTCCAGGGGTCCCTTAGGGTTTAGGAGATCATGGCTGTGGGGGGAGGGAGAGGGAGCCAGAATCCCACAGTTTTCCTGAAAGAGAAGCCGCAGGTATTATATACATCTGCCACTTAATAAGTAGGTATTCTCTTGTGTTGTTTGTGTATCCAGTAAATATCAGTGGTGGAAGCATCGCTGGGGACATTCTTCTAACCCCATACTTGCTCCCTTTCATTCAGGGATAACAGGTGTACTCACTTTTTAAAATATTGTAGCATAGGTTTTACTAGCCAAATTTTGGATGACTAACTGTTCCCGTTTACCAATGACTGAGGGTTTTCAGCCCTAACATCAGGACAGTTCTAGGCAAACCAGGAGGAGGTGATCCCTCTAAAATTGACTGACAAAATATATACTGCTGTATTGTATAAAGAATGCATTGCTAATTGCATTTTTCTAATAGAAATAATGTGTACTCATTTTAAAGTGAGGATAAAGCAAGATGGAGCGAAGGGAAATCACTTCAATGATGAATGGAATGATTCCATCTGGGCCATGTCTCTTTATAGGAAACCTTTTAGGTATATCTTTTTTAGCATTGAAGGGATACAAATGATCAGTATGTGTACAATCTTCATAATTAACTATCTCTATGGACCAAAGAAAGTGCTATACAGTGGTAGTAAATATTGACTTCCTACCACCTGACCCATTCATTCTTCTAGATGTCAAAGGAAAACCCTGTGAGGACCATTGTATACTGCAGCACTCTAACCGGTAAGCAAATTGGGAATTTTAAATTATTTTAAAAAAACTTTCTTCTGGTATGGTAGCCTGGTATCGTCTTGGATTGAACAAATATTCATTAACTGATTATCTTCCACTGTGTTGAAATAGTATTATTTATTATATAAGTTTGGTTGACAAGAATGAGCCTTTCAGTGCCTACTCACGTTAAACAAACTTGATTACCCAAACATCCAAATGGACCACCATGCCCTCAGCCCACTACTGCCTGAAGTACCCAGCCTGTGCTTAACCACTGACTCACCAGAGCCCATGGAGAAAGCTAGGGTGGAGGCCTAGGTGGTATCCTGTACATACAGGCAGCCTTACTACTCTCTTCCACCTCAGTGCTACCTAAAGACCTGGTACTCTTCCCTTCTCTGGGATATAAAATCCCATTTTCTCCTATTTTATTATTGCATTACCTTCTACAGTAACCAGAGGAAAATGAGGGATATGATAGTTTGACTAAACAAATTTCAGTTCATATATTCTTTTGTCAGTAGGAATACTGTGCTATACAAGGAAGAATTATACTAACAATAATATAGGATAAATTTTTGCTCCTTCTAGAATATGTGTCATTACGTTAGCAGAATCTCATCCAGTTCTTCAAAGTGGAAAAACAATTAAAAGCATTTCCTATCAAATCAGTACCAACTGTAGCAGACTGCAGAACAAGGTCTCTGGGAAATTTAAACGGGTATGTTCCTATAATTCTCTATTTAAGTCCTCTATGTCATAGTAATGATAGGTCCACTCAGTCTTTAGAATCCAGTGATGTATGTTCAGCACCCTTCCCTGGCTGTTTGACATTAACCCTAGAGAAAGTCCCAGACCAAAAAAATGTATTTCGGGCGGTGTAGGATCTCTCATTTCTGGTTCTGTAGCACCACCCCTGTCATCCCCAGGATGGAGGATGGGGAAGGTGGGCCTTTGAAAGGACAACACTAATAACAGTATAATGAGACATTTTGTCTCTTCCAGTTTTATTAAACCAGTATTTTGAGCTCTGTAAAATTTAGGTGATCAACTCTTTACCATATATTTCCACATGTAAATAAAAACTAAAAATATTTCCTGAGGTAGTAAAAAAATTCAATCTGAAAAAATATACAGTGTTTCCTCCTTATCATTTTCCATTGCGTTTCATGCTCATATAGCCACACCCTCTACTTCCACATAATGCTCAGCTGTACAAAATGTTCTCTCTACCCTCTACAACTCTGGGCAGGATGGACACATTTTATTAAAGGGTGGTATCACTTTTAGTAGATTCGTCATGGAGGATGATTTGGGTCCTTCATTTACTGAGTTCCTACTAACAATTTCTGCTAATAACCCTCACTGTTCTAGGAGACCCTTGTTTATACTCCCTTTGTAGGCCTGAAATCCCCTAATAACATGACTTGTGAGTATTGATTTTTCTTCACTCCTCGTAGATTTTTGTCAGACTCCCCAGATATATCCATAGAGTGGAATACATGAAACAATAATGTGCCATGGCATTCTAACAGATATACGTCAAAATGTTGTATTTACTTCTGGGTTATAGGATAATGGGTAAATGATTCTTACTTGCTACTCGAAACTTTTCTGTTTTCCAAATTTTCCTCAAGGTCATTTCTTTTTAATTAAAAAAAAATCCCTTTTTCAAAAAGTCTTAGAGAAGATAGGAATCTTAATGAAATTAACTTTGCACAGTATTGCTGTCACACTCTATCATGTTGAATATTCTATTGCTTATTGATGAACTTTCTTTATTGAAATCTTTATACTTGGCTATATGCAGCTTTCTCATTTAAAGTTAATAAAATATATTCTTAATTTTTAAACTAGCTATTATCATATGTGTCTTAGTTTGCTTTTCCCCCTAGAACATATGTTGGTGCCTGGCCCAGAGTTTTCAAAACACTAATTCCAGGACTGTACTGTATGATAACAACAATGGCTGCCTCTCAGAGGAAAGTGAAAATGTCCATCAGTTAATTACCTCTTCCCTTTCATTATCAGGGGGCACAGTTTCTAACAGAACTCGCACCTCTGTGTAAGATTTACTGCTCAGATGGGGAAGAATATACCGTATCTAGGTGAGTTACTTTTTAACCTCAATTTAGGAGGAAAAAAGGGAGGTATTATTTTTCTTCAAAACAGTTCTTTTTTCAATAGTTGTGTTAGAGGACGGTTGATGGAAGTGAATGAAAATATCCTCCATAGGCCTTCTATTCTTCAAGAGAAGGTAAGAAGGGGGTTGGGGGTGGAGTATGATCCCATCCACATACTTTTCATCTGATTGTGGTCATTTGACAGTACTGAATGTTCCATTTCCTTTCTAGCCATCCACTGAAGGTTACATTGCAGTTGTGTTGCCCAAATTTGAAGAAAGTAAAAGCATAACAGAAGGGTTACTGACACAAAAACAATATGAAGAAGTTGTGGTAAAACGCAGTAACGCCACAGCTGCCACGTCATGAGGACTAAGATGGAATGAAAAGCAATGCGGCATTCGATCAGCGCACTAAAGAAGTCCCAGCATATGGCAGAAGCATACGTCACTGCCAGCCGTCCGCAAGGAAGCGTGGGGTTCTTTCTCTTGCATAACAAGCCTGGGTTCTCATTTTGTCTTTAGCCTCCCAGATCTGACCTGCATAGACTCACTCTGCTCTTCTTTTGCTTTTCTCTTCCTCAAAACTGACAAGCAAGGGATATTTTTCTGATTAAAACAAACAAGCAGAGCACTTGGAGGAAAATTTGGAAAAGACAAAAGTTTTAAGTAGCAAGTAAAAATAATTTATCCATCATCCTGTAACTCATTAGTAAATACTACATTTTGACATACTTCTGTTTCAATGTTATGGCATGATTGTTTTTGCTCAAACTTCCATCAGTTTGATGGTAAAAGAAACAACAGCTGGCCTTTCTTACCCGGTCTGCTTCAGTGTGGCACTATCAAAAGTCTAGTCCCACCGCTTCTGCCCCAACTCCTTTCTAGGTCATAGGGGAGAGGCAGTGAGTGGCGTGTACCTTCCCTGGTCCTTAAGCTGCTGGATGGCCTTCCTCTCTGAAAGCAGAACTCTGACACTGCAGCTTCTTATGAGGGACAGCATGAAAAGGCTTTGAAAACTACAAAGGGCTTTCCTAACTTATGGAAGTATTATAATGCAGTACAAACAGTACAGTCCCTCAGTCTCACACGAGTTACAGGGTAATGAGCAAAGGAGAAGTTGCTATAATTCAGAGACACAGAGGCCTTTGAATAGAACAAAAGTTTTCACATTTGAACTGAAAAAACACTGAATTTATGGTTTAAGACTGTATATTTACACTGAATTTTAAATAAAAGACTTTAAAAATTGTTATTTTTTTAAGGGCTATAACACATGTACATTTAAATATCTGTTTTTAAATCAATTGTTTAATATGGAAGAAATCACTTGGCATGTAAATTCCTTTAGTTCCCTGTCTTACGACGCAGAAGTCATGTTATCCCTTCCCCACTCCCACCTGCAGTTAAATAAGAGAATATTCTCATTTCAGGTATGTAAAAGTATGTTGTAAATAAAATTTAAAAATTATTTTTGACTCACAAAAACTTCTTCAGTGCCAGCATGACTGTCCGCAGGTATGTACACCAGACATGATACAGGTAGTAACTACAAACTACACTGACAGTGCTGTGGACTGAGAGTATAGCAAAAACCAGCAGGCCCCCAGTTTGAGCAGCGCAATGATTCCCAAGGACGTCATAAAACAAAGCTACTACAGATAGTAAACAAATTTATCTATTTTACATATAACATTGCCTCACATCATTCACCATTATCTCTACTGCAATTTAAAAGAATATTTTGGTTTCAGGGAATAAATGGTTTTTATAAGGGAGTATTTCATAAAGATCATTAACCAAACTGAGTGCGACCCATTTCCCCCTGACGCCTATACAATTCAAGTTTCCTTCAATAAAATACTGACTACCTAACTGGTCGTACTGTGGGTCTTTGGGAATCTTGTGCATATTGTGATGGTTGACCCAGATAAGAGTCATCAGACAAGCTTGCGTAACTATAGCCATTTGGCAATTGACGTGTCCTGTTAGATTTCAAAGCACTGGGATACAAGCACTATCAAAGGAGTCCAAAGTTAACTGTACTGTATCATAAGGGCAGGACCTAGAAACCAGATCTTTGCATCAAATCCCCGCTCACAAAAACAAAAGCTTTAAACCCTGAAATTAAAAAGAATAAAGATGTTTATTTGTTTTAAAATGAACATTCCAAAGGCACATATATAAAATGTACGATTATTCAAAATTTATTTTAAACAGCTTCTTAGTTCTATCATTTTCTGTCTTCCATCTTCCATTCCATTAGTCACTACTGAAGACAGTTCAAAAACTACTTTTTTGAAGCCAGTAAGTTAGGTTTAGGATTCCAGCTAGTGTTCAGGGCAGACAGGCCAGCTCTGCTAGAACTACAACTAAAAGCCATCTCCTAGTGAGTTCCTCCAGGGTTCCTTGGAGTGAGCTCCATGACCCTGCTTTTGGGGATGGGAGAGGGATCTGCATCACAACAGATGGCCTGCACTATGTGAAATGCTTGTTAGAAAACAGATGTGTGCAATTTGCATGGATGATCTATGACAGTGGGTGGCCAAGAGGCCAGGTCACACTTGGACAGAGGGATTGAAGAGTCCACAGGCTTAAGGAAAACTGCTTTCAACCAGACTACTGTGTATTTTCTGCTGAAAATTAGTGTTCTAGGTGATAAGCTTAAATAAAAGACGGAAGAGGGGCAGGTAAATATGCCAAAGGTGAGCATACATTCAAAATAGCTTCTTTGGATTAAACTGTCATTAAGACAGTTGGGATATTTGGCTTGACTTTTAAAGAACAATATTGGTGGCAATGTCTCATTTTAAAATCACACTGCAATTAGAATTCTAGCAACTACCATAGCATTTATTAGCTGTCAAAAAGCAACAATCCAGTTTCATGATCAGAAAATAAAGCAGGATTTCAGTGTTTTCTTTATAAAATTATTGAATTTCAAAAAATATAAAGGATCTTTGCTTTTAAAAATGTCAGCTTTGCCATATGGTGTTCCGGAGATCTGCCCTCAGAAACTTCTCAAGTTTTACCATCCAAGGAGTCTTTATTTGTGACTGAGGCCCATCTGTTGTTTTCCATCTGAAGCTGGAAAGAAGACAATTTCTGCTTTATTCTCAAAGATTGCAAAATTAAATAACTATTTTCTTTTACATTGTCCTTTAGATTTTAAAATGTGAGTGTAGGATAGAAAACGGTCTCACCTTCTTCTGCAGTTTAAAGCAAAGTGAGAGAAGCTGGACCAAAATAGCCATCATGGATCTTGTCTTTGTAATACATTTATCAACCTATAGTGACAAAAAGTGAGCAAATTAAACTCCTTTGCAAGGGGTACTTCAAAAGACTTTATCATTATTCAATTTTAAAATGATAACAATTCTCCATTATGAAACTCTAAGGGATCTCAAAGGGTATATGGATTAGAACACATGAGCTGGCTTGATAACCTTGGGCCCCAGAACACAGATGCAGGGATTGCTGCCGGGTCTCACGCCTAGTTCATGAATTCCCAAGAAGAACAGATGGAAAATCAACCCATTCTACTTCAGGCTGTTTTGGGGCTTCTCTAAGTACTTCAGATAGTGGCAGTGAAAGCCCTATTTTGTGATTCCTCGCACTCTGCTTTGTTGCTCTCCAATTCCCTATGAATAGAGCCCATTCTCTGAGGAGTCTGTGCCCTAGTCAGTCATGTGACGACACTGGCATTTAAGGGAAGCTGCTTCATGCTATGGAATTAATCATGTCAAAAAGCCAATTTATTTGGTGAAGCTACTGCTCCCTGGGGTCATTTGTAACTGCAGATAGTGACTCTTGTAGTCATGGCACCAAAAAATGGAAATAAGTTGCTCTTCTGTGGTTATTAGCCCTTTATTTAAAGGAAAGAGGCTGGAAGCTAACGTGATAAAGTGTCAAAATCCCTCAAGAGCCTACCTGGATAACCCACCCTCACTTTTACCTTCAGAAACACTTGACTCTGCAAAGGAGTCTTAGTTATTGTCTGGAGCTGGTGGCAAAGAGGACTTAGCTTGTTTATTTCCAGGAGAAGCATGAGCTTGTCATCATCTTTCAGCTGAAATATAATTTAGGAACTTATAACAACTCCAACAAAACTCTATCTTTAAACTTTAAATACCTTTACACCTTAATAACATATCCCCCAAAGCGGGTGCCCATGACACCACCACCACCACCAGGCAGGTAGGCCTGCCTTACCTGTTTTGAGAAAGCTTGTGCACTTGAAGCAACCTTCAAGCCCTCTTCAGCAAAAACCTGGCGGAAAGAAAAAAGCCATTACTTTAGATGTAGGTCATCTGGATAGTTGGTAGGAAAAATACGCACAGATAATATAAAAGCTGAAGCCTAAAGATAAAGGTCTGCCATGGAACACCTACATATTTTGTTGTACCCAGGAAAACACAAGATTTTAACAGTATTCCGAGGCGGCTTCCCCAACCAGCTGCAGCATCAATCCCTGAGGAGGGTCTCTGAGTAATTAGAGGTGTGCAGGTGTCCATAATTTATGTGGCTAAGTATATTATACTTAGCCACATAAATTATGTCTGAGCTTCTGAAGGGATCCGAAGCTCATCTTGTAATATTCCCAGTTATAAAAGGGTGATGAATCTTAGAACACGAGCTCCAAAGGGTTAGAACTTCCTCCTTCCAGCTAAGCAGGACAGACTTTGTCACCCACGCACGTTCCTTAGCCGGCCCCTTGAGAGGAGCGACGCAGATTGGGTTTTGAGTCTTCGCACGCTTGGCAGTTCAGCAGGGGAACAGGGTGATGGGAAAGGGCAGAGACGGATGAGTTGGACTGACAAGAATATTCCGGATAAGTGAAAGATTCCAGGGGAGGAGAGGAATGAAAACTTGGCTTTAGGTGGCAGCAGTAAAAATGAAGTGAACAGGGAATCTGAGAATGATTTGTGAAGGGAAAAAACAGGTTTTGGTAATAAATTAGATGAAGAATATGAATGAGGCAATAATTTTAGGGATAACGTTAGTCCACTGCCCAAGAGCCATAACACCTTGCTCTCGTTGTATAAACCAATCTCAAGGTCAAATCGTCCTCTGCACCCTTCCCTGTCTTTTAAAGGAAAACCAGTGAGTTTTACACCTAGCTCCTAACCAAACAGAGTGACTCACTCACCCACAAATTCCTCATCACTCCACGTTACCACTTTCTGTTTCAGTATCTTCTCTTCCCTTCTAGCCTGGAAACCCCTCGGGGGCAAAATCCATATGTCTCACAGCGTCACGGTTTTAAAACCACCTCAAAGCTGACCATTCCCAAACCTCTCTCCCCGTTCCTGAGCTACCCTGACACCAGTCTTGCATATTCCACTTGAGCTAATCAATGCCTGATTTCCACCTTCTAGATCCGGTGCTGTCCCTTAGTGTCCCCTATCTCAGTAAATGGCACTACCATTTACCCTGTTGGTCAAGTTTAAAACCTCTTAAAACATAAGTCAGACCAGTGTACTGCCCCTCGAAACCCTCAATGGGTTTTCCATCATACTTGGAGATACAAAGTTTTTACAGAGATGCCACGTTACCACGCTCCTTCTGGCTCATTCCTGGCATCTACACTTGCCTTCTTATTGGTCTTCAGACTCCCCAGCCTAGCCTCACACCTCATAGTTACAGAGTCTGCCCAAAATTGTCAACCCAAATATCCATCCAGCTCACTCTCTCACTTAGTTTATATCTCTGTGCAAATGTTACCTCCTTAGAAAGCTCTTTCCGACCGCCCCTCTATCATCTCTCTCTTCTTGGCCTACATGTTTTATCTCTAAGTACTTATGCATGGGCATTATATATTTTTTACTGTCTATCTCCTCCCATTAGAAAGTTTGTAGACCACTCAGCAGACATCAGTGTAATGAACACGCTCACACAGGAAGGTGAGTAGTGGATCTTCAGTGGTGAAACACCCCCTATGGTGTGGTGTGACTTGGAATGACATGGGCCAAACTGAATGGAATGAATCCAGAATTCATTCTAACTGTTTTAAGAGAAAAAGCTCGTTTATAGTCAACTTTACAGAAAAATTTAAAACTGTATATTTTCTACAATTCTTCTGACTCTGCTGACAAACATCCTCTCCAGCTGCAATCCCGTTTCTGAGGAAGCTCAGGGGGCAGCATGGGAAAGCCAAAGAGAACTGCACAAAGGCGATCCAGTGACGGAAATTTCAAATTCAGGAATGCTCTTGGTTCTGGAGAGACAAACAGACTAACACGAGAGTCAGGGAAGGTAAAAAGGAATCTTGCCACCTGCTTGTCAATCCAAAGCGTCTAACTAAGAGGCGAGAATTGAAATGGGCCTACGTGCAGTTCCATTACACACGGGCACGTGGGTGGGTGTCAGTGTCTCCCCCTGGATGCCCCAAATCATCAGGAATATGGGGGTGGGGGGGGAAACTAACGTACTGAGTACCCTCTAACGGTCTCATGCCTATGACCGATGCTTTCTTATGTGTTATCTCATTTAATCACTAGCATTCATCCAATTCTGATGAAGAGGCCAAAGAGCCTCCCAGCATTCAGGCAAGAGTAAGAGACATGCATCTGCTGACAGGATAGCTTCGCCTACTTGGGAAAACAGGAAACTTATTATTTCATCTATTGACTATCAAAGCCCATTCTACTTTATCCCTATTATATTTAAGGTGTGTGTTTTCCAATAAGATAACCAAAAAAAGCTCCATAAAATGCTACGGCAAGCCCTTGACTTTTCTTCCACTCTCTATATTACACGTGTGCGCACAGGTAAGCACACAAACTAATACCAATCATTTAGAAATTAGTTACTACCCACTTTTATCCCAGAATTGAAGTAGTAGCATAAAATGGAAATAAAACATACCTCTAGTTGATGAATTAAATCCTGAGAAGTTTTCAGTGGCCCCTCTCCCCTGAAATAAATGAATTATTAAGGAGGTAAGGAGAAGTTATTGCCTGGAAATTGGTTTTGCAATATTAAAATTTTAGAGCATTTTGTATATTAAGAGACCCCAATTTTTGAAGAATATTGAATAGATTAATAATATTGTGCTGTAGCCTTAAAGCAACTTTAATTATTACTTCTTGGGCACTTTTAAAATCTTTAAGTAAACATCATACATCTTAATTTTACAATGTAAAGAAATTTAAAACCAACAAGTTATATTTAAGTTTTACTTTTCCTGTTTAACCTTTTCCATTTTGCTTCATAAATTAAACATATAAAATCTGATAATATGTCTTAACCGAAAGGCGAGGATCAGACTGAAAGTCAGGAAATTCTCATTTCTGAATCCATTTTCAGCTCTGGCGGGAAGAGGGTGTCACTTAAGTTTCAATTCTGAGTCTATAAAATAGTTGTAATAATATTTGTGTACCTCTCATCAGAAGGTTAGGGAGTATCAGACTGAAACCACCGAGAATTAGGCCCTAAAATGAACAGTGAATGACCACAAAGAGCCGCCGAATGCCTGAATCAGGACTAGGCATGAATCAGGAGATCTGAAATCCAGTAGCAGCCCGCTCTGCCTCTTAACAACTATGAGATGTGAGCAAATTTTTCCTGTTCTCTGACATACTGTTGTGAGGAACAAATGAAATTATGAAGTAGGAACCACTTTAAAAACTATAAGGCACTGGTAACACTGAATTTTTTTTAAACTATAAGGCAATATAAAATCTAAAATACATAAACTATTAAGAAATATGAGTAATTAATTAAACATAAATTATTAAGAAATGTATATAAACTAAGTGTTAAGACAACATCAAACACTAGCTGGAAGAAGAGCTATAAAATTACCCAGGAAAACTACAAAACCGGATACTGTAAAGGCCAACAGATGCGTCTCAGAAAGAAGCAACTCTATGAGGCTGATATATCACAGTCTTAAGGGAAACAGGAAATATTGTTGGAGAAAAAAACAGAGGTTTTCAAATTCTATTACCAAGACTTGCTGATATGGCACAGGGTGTGATCCATCATAGAGAATCGATTTTCTTGTCCTGAAATTCAGTGTTCCTGTCCAATAACCATCTTCTAGCAACAAGTCTCATTCCCCAGAACTTTAGTTTTTCCTACCCCTCATAACGCAACCCTTCAAGCCTCCCACCTCTGTGGGGCGCATGTCATCCCTAACCAAAGCCAAAAATGGGGACCATACCGTCCTGAAATATTCTGAAATAAGAAACAAGAAATAAAAGGGGAATTACAAACAGAAAAAAATCTACTCATGAAACTTTTGTTTGGGAAGATTTTATATATCAGATTATATTCATTAAGTAATAATGCATTTCTCCAGTTTCTATCAGTCAAAATAAAGATCTGATTTTTATCACCAGGAGGTAACTAGCATGATTTCAGCCAAAACTAAAGATCTTTGTTACTTCAATTAATCTCTGCACAGTTTCTTGTGCGAAAACAAAGGAGTTCCATTTTACTTTCGTTTGTGGACTTGACTCATCAGATTTTTAAAAGATATAAACTAAGAAAGGAGGTCAAAGTTAGTGCTGGAAACACTTAATCCCAGGAGAAGCTGCTCAAACAATTTAAGAACAAAGGAAGGAAACCACCAAAGAGGAAAGATCACCAATGATGGAAAATACGGTAAGGTGTCAACAAATGACTGCTCCACACAGAAAAACCGCTCAACTAGCATTTCTCCTTCACCCTCCAGAAGAACGGTTTATCCTGGAGAGGCAGGAGGCACCCTCGAGAGGGAAATGGTGCTTCTTCCAAACGAAAGCGAAGTCCCCATCTTCCTCCCACCAGCACAGCATCCCCCCTCTGCTCTCTCCCTCACCCCACCCCATGGAAGAGGTGGACGTTTATCTACTTTCTCAGTCTTTCCGGTGACTTTGTGAAAATATAGTAGCCCTTTCTTTTCTTTTTCTCTTGAAAGTAAAGCTGCCTTTGGGATTTACCTGCTCTTTCAGATGTTTTAAGAGACACATTCTGTCCCTGTGGAGTAAGATTACTTAATTCTAGAGATCATTTGTAAAAACCTACCAGCCTGTGGATATGAACTGACATTGTACAATATCAGCTTTCTCAGTATAAATGTGACTGACCCCCATCTGTCTATTCTTTTGCTTATTTTTTCATTTTGTTCAGAAGCTAGGTAGGGAAATGGTGCTATTTATTCAGCCCCCATGTCCACACAGTTGTAAAGATCCTACCTACTTGAATCGAGCTTAAGATTCCAGGTCAAATGGATCACATTTCAGAATACTGAACCAACTTGCAGATGTGAACCACTGCTGATAATATTTTCAAACTCAAAACGAGTAAAAGAGGGGCCATAACATTGGATATATCTAGTATTTTCCAGGTTTTCAAAAATGAAAAAGATAGATTTCAGAAAATTAGTGGAAAGTTTGAAGTCATTCCTTAAGAATATTGTAGGACAGATTTATGAGCAGATAACTGATATTTAGCAACATGGAATTACCATACATATATACATAATCATTACTATTTATGACATATCTATATATTCATTACTATACCATAGAGAGAGATTATTTTTAATGGAAGATTTTGGAATGTGATCAACATTCACTTCAACAAGGCATTTAATCAGAGTCTTATGATGTGGACAAGACAAAGAATGTAGGTCAGACAATTGCAAAATTAGGGAAAATCTATGATACATAATAAATACTGATTCACAGAGATTTGGGACTCTATTGAGGTCCTGGGCCTAATGGCTCTATTGTCTGATCTGTGTCTAATCAACCACTTGTATAAAGATTCAAAAGGCATGTTTTCTAAACTACTGATGCTGGGCTGGGAGAGACACTGATGTACAAAATGAAAAAAAGCAGATTGCAAAATTATTTCAAAATTCCAAAAATAGGATACAAACCTAGAAGAGGATCCCTTCTACATCTAAATCTTAATTAAATGTCTTCTTGTTGCATTCACTTAATTGACATAAGAATGACATATATAGGCTTTTTACCATGTATACGAAACTGACTTTAACCTATCAGTGACTTAACATGGCACTTTTTCTCTACACTAGATATTAAATCGATTTTAAAAGCTCGAGCTGTATTTACCTGGTGAATAAATACAGCGAGTAGGCCGAGCTGGACATGCTCCGTGCGTATCGAACAATCTCATTCTCCTGATTCTCCCACTTCTCGATCTCGCAGTTGGCATCGGAGGTGAGCAAACCCAGCTTAAGCCCAAGCTTTGCAATCTTGGCTTTCTCCTACAAAACACGGAGAAAACATTTTAATCACCACGATTCTGTTATCATTGATGTCAAAGGGAGAGTAGAAGTAAGACTGTGATCACAGATAAGGTCTTACCTCAGAGTCGGACTTGTCTGGCTTTAATGACTTCAGGTTCGTGCTATTCTTCTGTGACAATAAAAAGATTAAGAGGAAAGATTAGGTTCATTATGAGGAAATCTGACAGTAATGGGAAGCATAACAAAACACCCGTAATAAGATTTTATCTAACCATTTGCAGTGCACACTTAAAATTTATTAAGAACTAACTGCAAGCACGCTACTGCGAGCATGTGCGTTCAGCTCGGAGCAGGCAGTCAGCTGGAAACCTGGGCGAGGGGGGCAGAGCGGGGTCCCAGAAGGACGTAAGGACCTCGGCATTTTGCCAGAGCCCAGTTGTATACCTCCAAAGCTTTCTGGCCCCTCTGTGAGTTATCCTTCTGAAATGATATAATAAAATCAGCCACTATCTGTAGAGGTCCCTCTGTTCCTAATGTAATGACTCCGGAATTCACCGCCTTTGCCCAATGTGCCCTTTGAGGGCCAAATTCTAGCACCCTTGTTTCACTGGCATCCTGATCCCCAGTCCTCTACCCAGGTTGTATAGGAGTTTATACCTAGAATTTGGGGTTTAATATTTGAAACGACATGTTGGATAGGCCCCTATCTTTGAAACAGCAAGTGTGTTCCTATGTGAGCTGTTTGGAAGTCAGAAGCTACTTCCCCCGAGAAAGCGGAAAACACTGTACACTAGTCAGGGTACCGGGCTGACCCACGGGTGCCTACTAACTAGAGGATAGAAAGCACTGCCCACAGCTGTGGGCCTTTGAAAAATATATTCATAAGTCTTCTGAGATGGGAGCCCAGGTTGGGCATCCCTCTCACTCTGAGATCTGCTGGGGACCCCCATGGTTGGGGGGGGGTTTCCAGGACAGCTGGGGCTCCTGACATAAAGGGGCCAGGAGATGCAGGAAACCTTTTTTTAAGGAAACATTTATTTAAACACACACACACTGAGTACATATTCACACACGTACACAAAGTATAAATTACAATAAAATAAAACACGCATGTGCTCACTTAGCCTAAGAAGCAGATCATCACCAGTACCTCTAGGTGTATGTGTACCTCCTTTTTTGTGGCCTCGTTATTACCATGACTTGTTACTTCTGACCAGCTATTGTGTCACCAGTTTTACTGTAGGACAGAGCATCCTCAATGTTTCCTTTTTTCCCTACCCCATAGTTTACAGTTGCTCATTTGACAGAGCCCTTTTGAGATTTTCTAATGCCATTTACTACAGGAGAAATGGGAGAAGTTAAAGGACAGAAAACAAGTACAGGGAAACTGTGAGGTTACACACACACACACACACTGCCTCTTCTGTCCATTAGGAAGTAAATGGAGGTGATCGATGAGCTCTCTGGCTCCTCCTGGTGAAGGCGCAGCACCTGGATTCTCTCCCTTCGTCTAGCAGACTACAAAACTATTAAGGAAGCATTTATGAAAGTTAAGAGCACCCTACAGGTTTTTAGGTTTTATTTTATTTAGAATTTTATGTTCCATGTGTTCTTTTAAACTGAGTTGTGTTTTCATTATTTTTAGCTTTACTTTTACAAATTACTATTAAAGTGTTTGATGAAGATAGGAAGGGAAGGGCCTGAAAGGGTACAGACACCGTCGTAACGGTGCACCCAAGCTTGCCACCTAGTGGACACCACTTTGGGATGCAGTCAGACACATCAGCTGCAGTTATATAACGCTACGCATTTCAAGTCTCTAAATATAAATAGCGTGGCATATTTTCATCAAGGTAGGAAATATTAAGAAAGTCCCTAGCTTGTAGAAAATGATTCCCACATGACCCTGTGAATTAGATCCAAGATATGAGGAACAAAAAGACCCCCTGACTTCAGGTTATGGCTTATTAATCATACCATCTGTTACCTATTCCCTCAACCCTCCACACCCAACACAAATAATCACAGTATGGGCTGCAACTAGATTGTTACTCAGCATAACAACTATGAACAATTAACATTTAATAGCTTATTTTTTTAATGACAATTATTGGGGGGTGGATAGCAACAGGCAGCAAGAGCATAACTGAATTGTGAACAAAAAACATTCTGAAATGTACAAAACTCTTCTACTTACCATTGGCTTTGGAAGTGAAAGGTAGCCATACTTCTCTCCTACAAATAACATATATAACTTAAAACAAATTTTCTATGATTCACACTTCATTTAAAAATATTAAATAAACAGGAATGTCAGTCTATTGGTTTTCATAATTTTGTCTATTAATTGCATATGACTCAGAAATAAAACTGTACTTTGATTGGTGACCACAGGGACCGTGAGCGGTTGTATCTCTAAGTTACCTACGTTGGTGACTCTCCACCTCCTCCAACGAAATGGCAGAAAACAAAAAGGCAAATTGTCTCAGTGCCATTTACTCACACGTCCCACCAGTCTCGTTCACAGTGAACGCTTTCACAGCAGCCTGCCTTAGTGAGACCTGGCTCTTCAGGACCAGTCTTTGGTGCTTGTGTCCTGTAAGTCCCGGGCCAAATCATGCACAGCTACTCTCCTAGCTCACTGCCCCAGGCAGGGAGGCGACAGCTCGAGTGTACAGACATTCGGAAGGTGGAATAAAGCAGACAACAGGCTCTTGGCTGGGAATTAACACGAGGCAGGAAGCACAGCTACTAAGGAAAGGAGACCCGTCACACCCGCTTCATCACTGCCCTTTTATTTTTCTGGCTTCTGGGTCATGTATAAAGTCAAATTACAATGAATGATACTTTTTTTTCTTTTTTTTTAAAGCTAGTATGTTCTATCTGGAATAAAAATTCAAGATAAGACTTGAACAGTAATTGCGTCTTGATTTCAAGGAGAGTGTGCAGCTATAATATATCAGGTGGAACCATATAAAATTGCTGATACTCAACTACTTTGAAATACAAAAACAGCAATTTCATATAGTTCCGCCTAATCAAAGCCAGTAATACATCAAAACACTAAGTCATGCCCTTCCTTATAGAATGACTGTTACATGAACAGGGCAAACCTGTTCATAACATACTTAACATTTCATCTAGAACTGTGTTGTTGAATCTGGAATCTGCTGGCCACACGTGACCATTGATCACCTGAAGCATGGCCAGTCTGTACTGAGATGTGCTGCTGTAAGTACAAAATACATACAGGATTTTGAAGACTTAATATAAAGAAAAAAATGTAAAAGATCTCAATAATTTTAAAATATTTATTGTAAACTGAAATAATATTTTGGATATGTCAGGTTAAAAAAAATAGTATTAAAATGAATTTCACCTGTTTCTTTTTAAATTTTTCTTGTGCCTCCTATAACTTTTAAAACCCATATGTGGCTTGCACTCTGTTTCCACTGAACAGAGCTGATCTAGAAAATAAACTGTCATTAAGGGTCAGCCTTCATGGTACAAAGAATAGCTTTATGATTCAAATCATTTCTTCGTAACGTCAGAGTTGTAAGGGAATTTTATTAATGGTTTTCTGGTGTCAGACTTGTGAGAGAAAAAGAAAACTTTAAGGAGGAAGTAGGAATTTCCATGCCTTGTCTCCTAACCCTGATGTAAAAAGTGCCTGATTTAGGGGTGAGACTATTAACAGAAGACTGTCTTCAAGTCACTCAGACCCTCAAAATTCCCCATCTGTCTTCATTCAAGGTGTGAATTCTGTCCACAACACCCCTTAAAAAGTGTTGTCTTAATAAGCTTGAGAAGAGGGCATAATCATTACTTAAGTATAATTAGCTTAGGTGAGCAATCCTGTATTATCCACCCTTGTGATCCCCATAGTGCCCATGATCCTGAAATGTTCACATTTACTCTCCAAAAGGGAAAAAAAAAAGCGAACTGTTTCAGTATTTCTTATTTCTCCAAGGTATACAACAGAGTTAAAGAAACCAGGAGGTAGGGAGAGATAAATACGATAAGAAGAGAGCCTTTCTACAATTGGTCTGCTACATTGCCACCCACCAGCTCCTAATCGCCTGGCCGTTCCCAGGCCTGCGGCCCTCTGACAGGTACTTGGTTTTGCTCCCTCTTTCTAGCCTTCAGGTAGACGCAGAATCCTTTAAAATTTGAAGATCATTGCAAAACTGATTATTCTTCAGACAGTTTTCCTCCAAATGCTATGTAGGCAAAGTTGTCCCTCTTTCCCCAAAATCTAATACAGCCAAGTAAGTTGATAAAATACCCCCAAAAAAGATGAATATAAATCATTTAATCATTTTATAGTTTTTTTCCATACCAGCCTAATTATTGCCATGGATTGGAAGCAGAGCAAGAATATATTGACTCAATTATGTTTTGCTATTACATCAAATTAAAGAGGCATCTCTGATGAAAACATGTTATAAACATTAGAAGCAATTGGAAAAATAAATATTTGGGGAAAACATACTGGGTACAGATATTTGATTTACAGAATTATTTTCAAAGCACTAAATCCTTTGTTTAATACCCCCTAAATCAAACCACAACTGTGCCATCTTCTGAGTTTATATCTCAAGATTAATTAAGTTCCAAAGGCCCTCTCATCTTATGAGAGTTCCGAAATGATTTCTATGAAAATCTAATTGAGGAGTACTGTTCTCATTTCCAATATTCAGAGCTTGTCTGCATCTCTACAAAATAAAACGAATTCCCCAAGGACATGTAAGCCTCGTTATTTCGCTGCATTATTCCCTGTTAGAAATTTAATTAGCTTTGGGGTTCTAGAGGGGCTCTACATGACCTGGTCAATCAGAAAAGGGCCCATGTCCCCAGACCCCCTGCATTGAATCCCTAACCACTAAAGGCGAGGCAGGTAATTGGCTAACCTCAGGAGTGGGAATGAAATATTCTAATCCAAACCCAGTTGCCAACCTCAAACCCTCCCTTTTGTCTACAGTCAGTTAATCACCAAATCCTACCAATATTATTTGGAAAATTTTCCTCATTTCAGTCCTCTTGTTTCCATTTCTATTATCATCGCCCCATCATCTCGTCTGGACGGATCACTCCCCTGCTCCAGGCTCATGCGCCCACAAGCACGTGCCTCTCCCTACACTCCCCACGTCCGTGACCAGCACCCCATGCACCCCACCTGCCGAGTGATAAGTCATGCGCAGAGCTATGAAGAGGGATACCCACAACCTTAGACACGGAGCTTAGTCACGGGACTCCAAACGGGTCAAAGAGAACAAAGGAAATGCAGCCTCCTTACAGGAGGGACAGAGCCTGCGAGCTATGAGAGGAGGCTTTTCTGACATTTATTTGTCGAAAATTATCTCAAGTTCCGAGTGCTGATACATATTCATCACGAAGGGAAAGTGAAGTCTTTTTTATCTGGTCCCTTCTAATACGAAGACCGTGGCCTCCCTGGAAGTTTGGGCAAAAAGACAAAAGGGCCAGAAGACAAATGCTGATTTTGGCGTTCTTCAAACAATCCCAGGAGGCCCTGTTGAGATGTTTGAGCGTCCCGAGTGGAGGACAATGACCCGGCTCTCAGACCCACTTCCAGTATGAGAACACTGAGGGCGCCTCCTCATTGCTTAGCATGTCGTCCCCTGGCTGCGCCTCCTCATTGCTTAGCGTGTCGTCCCCTGGCTGCGCCTCCTCATTGCTTAGCACGTTGTCACCTGGCTGCGCCTCCTCATTGCTGAGCATGTCGTCCCCTGGCTGCGCCTCCTCATTGCTTAGCGTGTCGTCCCCTGGCTGCGCCTCCTCATTGCTGAGCATGTTGTCACCTGGCTGCGCCTCCTCATTGCTGAGCACGTTGTCACCTGGCTGCCTGCTTCAGTGATACCTGCGAACACATCTGGCCATTCTCCCGTTGGGAGAGGCAAGACACGCAGAGCAGACGAAGGTGGCTGGAGTACAGCAGAGGCCTTTCGGTAACAGTGACACCCTGAGTCACAGCAGCCGCGGGGGAAGTCAGGACGGGCAGGGTGCCCGCTGCCCTCCGTAGGGCCAGCAGCGCGGGGGCGAGGTGAAAGGAAGGCCTGTCACAGCCACGCGCCACAGGAGAGCGGCGCCGTGACGCGGGACTCCGCTCGCCCGGGGGTGGCCCGCGCGGAGGTGGACTTCTCCGCGGAAAAAGCTACTCCACGAGCTTCACGAGAAAAAAGAGAAAGAAAGGCGCTGCAGACATCAAGCAGCTCCGCCTCGGCCCCACAGAACGATGGCCTCGGGCGTCTTCACCGGTTCGGCCACCAGCCTCCCCCGGGGAGGAACTTCCGTGCAGCCCCGAGGAGGGTAAGGCACTCCTGCGCTTTCGAGGATCGTTACCCAGACCTACAGCAGACCCAAAGGGGAGGTCATTCGCACAGTCTCCAGCCTAGAGGAGAAGAAACCACAGTGACCCTGGGGTCTGAACGTAAGCCTGTGGCTTCTCCTGCTCTGAGCCGGGCCTGTCCGTTGGGGGTTCGAGCGCTGAGGAAGGCTGGCAGGCCGCTTCTCTTCCTTTCCGGAGCAGGTCGTACGGCTAAGCGATCATTCTTCTGTGAGTGCGGATCGGTTACATCGCCTTACCTTTTCCTCTATGAAGCCTGTCGCACGTAATAAGCCATGTAACTATAATACTTCATCAAAGCATCCCAACCACACACCATTCGGACAGGAATCTTTAAATGCAGAAGCGCGGTAAACTTTTATTATACTTTACAAATAGTGTTATATCTACAAAGTCTACACCATTCCCTGATTTTTAAGCATATCGGCAATTATTCTACAATAATATTTTTAAAAATATGAAATGTTTAAATGTTCATATTCAGTAAAAATAGGTAATTTGATATTATTGTGACTTTAAATGCCATTTTATTTTAAAAACTAAGCATGCTTGACACTAACAGAAGCCGCGGGAAGGGAAAAGCATATAAAAACACAAACATAAATAACAGGACACACAGTACAATGAGAAATAAACAAAATTCCCAGTTGATGTTAAAATAAAAGGTAAAAAAGACGCCTTCCCGGACATCGTACAGTGCTATTCTACATGTTGTACAAATAATGAACTTACCCACCATAGGAAATAGTCCAAGATTAGATGGTCGTCAAGGAAAAAGGTTCCATCCAAGTGGAAGGAAGCAATTCAAAAATCAAATAACTACATTCATTTCATTATGAAATTAGTAGGATTAAGTCAAATAATCACTGTGCTGCAGAGGAAATTTTTACTAAAACTAAAAAACAATTTAGAATATAAAATGACTTCATTTCAATAGGAATGTTAATATTAACTCAAATAAATCTACTATGCTGTTGTACAACAAATTTTACTGTTTGGTTACTAAATAAAGGAAAAATACTATTTTCATGATTTCTTATTGAAGATATTTTACTATAAAAATAATGCAGTTGGGATATGACAAGATAATTCATTTTGCATCTGAAGTGTGAAATTAGAAAACTGAGTTGCATTAAAATAATAATATATTTCAATATGTGGACAGTCTCTCACCTTGTCTTCCTTCAAACACGTCGTTGATTTCTCTTAGCAACGTTGACATGTCACTAATTTGGGATTCCCAAGCTTCACAAAACACATCTAGGTTTTCTTTAGCAATTTTACTAGATGGATGCAATGTCAAAGTTTCAGCAGCAGAAATTATCTGAAGAAACACAATATGAACAGGTGTGAATTTCAAAATCTTCGAATCTCTTCGAATCACATGGGAGACCAACACTTAAGTGTGTCCTGTCCAAATCAGCCCAATAAACAGCTATGAAGTAATTTCCACACGGAAGCCTCACGTTGGCCAACGTGGAGATACGTGGTAGAACAAGACTTACTATTCCCTACAGTCTTATCTACAAACAGTAGGCATTCTTCTACACAGACCTTTCTTCAGGGAGCAATTATCTTTGCGTTCTTTTTATTTTGAGAGTACGTTTATCAAAGCGGGGGACAGTGCGACAAGGAAGAGCTTAGGACAGAAGCAGCAACAGGAGAGAATAGCTGGGGCTGCTTTGTCTCTCTAGAAATATAATAGGAAAGAGGTGAGCCAAGGTGGGGCTGCTGTCCCCTCGTTGGCGTCAGAGGAAAAGGGGCCTTGGGGACAGGGTCCGGGGGTTAACCCTGGACGGGCTGCCACTGCCCATGGCTCCCCTGGTTGCCAGTCTCGAGGGGTCCCTTAGGGTTTAGGAGATGCACACTTGTGGGGGACGGAGAACGGGGAGGGAAAGATGCGGGAGTGCTCCCAGGAGGGAGAACGCACGAGGGAGCAATTGCCTTTATTCAAGGAAAACTGTCTCAACGGTGCTTTCCACAGCATAATTCAACATTATGCTCAGACAGCCAAGCGTGGGCTGTACACTGTAGCAAAGAGACGGTGGCCGCAGTAAGGGCAGTAACAGGGGCAGGGAGGCGGTGGCGGCAGCAGGTGAGCAGCGGTAACAGCCGTCGCCGCAGCAGTGGCACTGGCGGTGTGGGCAGCAGCAGTGGTGCTGGCACGGTAGTGTTGGCATCGGCAGTAGCTGTAGCTAGACAGTTAGTGGTGGCGGTGGCGGCAGAGGAGTAGTAACAGGCACACGCCTGTGAATACACTGTAGCTGTACAGGGTGGGGCAAAGGAGGTTTACAGTTGTTTATATGGAAAACGATACAATAATTAATCAATAATACAGGAATAAACTGTTTCATGTACTCACAACTGTAAACCTCCTTTTGCCCCACCCTGTATTCCAATGGGATCTTAGTAGAAGTAATGTTGTAACAAACATCGGTTTTTGCTGTTGTTGTTGTTTTGAATCTCCTTATGTCCTTAGGCATTACTGGGTCAAAACATGTGAATATTTTTACGGTCTGTTACATGATCATAGCTTACTTTTCAAACAGGTTACAACAGCCCACACTGTAAACAGCTTCATTAAAATAGATATAAACTAGGCTTCACTTAAATGGGCCAATCTCCAGGTTGGCCAGGAGACCAGATAACCCAGTGGAATGTCAGCTATGTTCCGGACTCTACCTAGGAAAATTCCAGCACCCCCCTTTCGCTCGGTGGATCTGGCCTGCAGTTATGCAGAACCACTTTACCTTCCTTGCACACAATTTGTTATGACGCTCAGATAAGACTTCATATAGAAGAAACAACCTACTGTTGATCGTACCTGTTGGCCAGTCACCTGAAACGTCTCCTCTGCATGGATGCAGGTTATTTCAAGAGGTTCTGTCCCTGATACGTGTCGCAGCAATCGACAGGTCTGCAAGAAAACATTTCTACCGTTCAACTTCCACATTCTCATCTCCACAAGACAGTCTCACGTTATAATTCATAGAGACAATAAAACATTAAAACCCATAAAAATACATTTTTACATCAAGGAGAAATTATAATACTCTATTGGTTACCAACAGATTCTTGAGGAACAAATCAGGGTACGGCGTATTGTTTTCACTTCCTACCTGATCATGGCTAGGTGGTCACAGACTAGTAGGACCAGGAGAAGTCTCTGAGAGGACCTAGCAGTGCCCACACAGTGTATGTGTGGAGATACTTGGCTCGGAGAAGTGACTTGCCCAAGGTCTCTTGGCTAACCTAGGTCAATTATAAAAGCTACACATTCTGTCAACAAAAACCACTCTCCTTCTTGGTCAGTTAATTAACACACCTTTCAATGGAGATAACACTGGTTTAGGCAAGACCGATGTAATGAGTAAGGAGCCTACATCAGTGAAAATTATTGAAAACCCTGAGGCTTAAAACAGAACATTAGAAAAATATATTCTTTCCTTTTTTAAAAAGATTTGCTGCAGGATTCCTATAATTAGCAAGTTTGCTTACAGTCATAATATTTGGTTTGCCAACAACACAGCATCAAAACTATTTTTAAAAGGGGATGTACCTACAGTCATTTTAAGAATGCCCCTTAGCAATTTTCAGATATAATCAAGTAAAGGAGAGGAAGCTAGTCCAGTTGATCTACAGGTTCCTCCAGCCATCAGTCTTTGAGATTTGGTGAGCAAGGAATATTAGATGACCTAAAGATAGCTAGTTGGTTCACAGTCGTGCACTGATAGGCATGCTGGCTAAGACATACCTTTTATATACGAGGTATACATAGGTTAAGCATATATATATATATTTTTTTTACTAGCAGATCACACATCTGACATTCTCAGTCGGTGGAAGGCTTAGAATATCAATTAACAATTGGAATTATAACCAAGTGGCAGGTAAGCACCAGTAACACGGAACAGGGACTTGGGAGGAACAGGATTGCTCCAGAGGAGGCGTATGGTACTGGGCGTCTTCTCCCGGTCCCTCCGCGCCACTCCCCTCCTCTCTCAAGCCTGCCTTTGTCCTGGGACACTGACCTACGTGGTCTGCAGCTCTGTTTGGCAGTGAGAAGCCCCAGGAATAGACCCGCAGGGATGAGGAAGGGCCTTCATTCCCATGCTCTTTCCTGCAGGGTCGCCTTGGGCTGTCTCTGTGTCTAGTCCCCAAATCACCTCTCAAGGCGTCTCTCTGGGAGACCCTATGCCCCTCCTGTTTCCAGCAACCACTGAGCCCTGCCAGTGGGGGCTCAGGGACGGCCCCAGCCCTGCTCTCGCTGAGCCCAGCTAGCGCAGTCCCGTGGTTTCCCCCACACCCCGCCTGTGCGCTGTAAACAGCTCCTTTATCAAGCCCTCCTTAAATGGTCCTACTTTGTGCCATCTCTCTGCTGCTGAGACCCCACAGATTCAAACGGAAACAAGGCCATGCTGTGGGTCTCCACTGCAGTGCTCAGTCTAATCTCTCAGAGAGTAAGGAAAATTAGATTAAGAAATGCATCTGTGGGCTCTAGCAGTTTGGTTCTGTTCTGTGGTGAGAACAGAGCAGATAAACATAATACCTTTAGAATTCCAAAGGAGAGAGCAAACGCTCCCGTGAGTTATCCCAAAGCGGCATTTGCGCGCTCAGTCCCTGAGGATACACAGCCACCCTTAAACCACCATTTAATGAACAAGCAAACGGATGACTCACCTCGACAAGCTGTTCTTTCTGTTCTGAGAATTTACAGGCATATTCGGCCAGACCTTCTAAATTCCCTTCCACTCCAGTAAGTTTTAATGCTTTGAGGACCGCGTGATCAGCGTGGTATTTCAGCTGATCCGCCGCCAGCTGGGTCGCTGTGCTGTGAAGCTGCACGTGGGGGTGAGGGGGTGGAAGAAGGACAACAGGCCGTGAGATGTTCTGACCAAGCATCTCAGAATCGCTTTAAAAACCGAAGAGCAGCGACCTCAACACAGTCGCGCTGGAACCTCTCGGGGAAGTGCAGTTCCCCGCGGTAACGGTAGCGGCTGTGTGGACCGGGACGGGGTGACGAGAACTGTAGAAAACCAACTCAATCACTTGCTCATGCTACTATCAATCAGCTCTTTCCCACACGACTTCTCTCTTTCCTCAAAAACTGCTTCTGCTACTCTTAAAGGTAGTGAGGAATAGAACAGTAGGAACTGCCTGGTATTCCAAGTATCAAGGGAAAAAAATCAGTTGGTAGTTTGTGATCATGAGTGAGTTTTTTATCAGACTTTTGAAAAAAGTGGGATTCGGTCAATTAGGTAAACACCAAAATTTTATTAAATACGTGCATCATGGCAAGCACTGGGTTAGAGCCTGGACATACGGGTGGGACACAACCCTTCCCTCAGGAGGCTGCTGTCTATCTGCAGTTGTTACTTAGAAGTTTACTCTTAACACTTGGGTCACAGGAGAAACAATATATAAAAGGCTAACAAAACCCCTAAAGTTACATTTGACTTTAAAGTGGATTTTAAGCATGGTTCACTCACGGTGGATATCTTTGGGTATTATTAATTCCAAAATCTCCTTATCCTGGCCTTTAGAAAACGAATGATGTGTCAGGTTATTTGGGGGTTCTCCAGAAAGAGATTACTTTTAATTACACTGTCCCCAGGAAATATCTGACCTCGCATTAAGCCTATTTGAATGAGGTGATTTCCCCCCCTCCTTGGAGGTAATCCAATGTCAACTCAAATTACAGCTCTTGCTACAAAGTTAACAATAGGTAGTCCGCATTCACGCGATGAAGCAAGAATAATTACAGTTAGAAGCAGAGACATTAAAACGCCCTTTCTTTTGGAAACGTGAGAATTCTAAAAGATTTTGTTTAGCCACCAGGGCCTTAGACAATCCTTAATGCCAGCCCTTTATTTCACAGACGATGAAGCAGGTCGAGCAACTTGTCCAAGGTCAGGCAGATTTTACATACGGTTCTGGAGACAATGTATTACCAACTCCATGGGAGGAGGAGCAAACAGCACGAGGCTCCTGCTCCGCGCAGCGTGCTGACAACAGCTGCAGAGGCCCTATCGCCCTCAAGTCTTACAAAGATCCTACGTTAATGTTGCTCTACTTATTTCCAGGGTAAGAAAATTGAAGCTTGTGGAAAGCCACTCAGCCCGCTTCTTATGTTCAGTGTGACACTGTGACTTCCATATCGTTGCCTTTTTATTGCTGAATAATATTTAATTTAGTTCTACCGAAGTTCGTTTATCAATTCCCATTGATGAAATTTTGGGTTGTTTCCGATTTCGGGCCGTTATAAATGAAGCTGTTATGAACATTCGTGCACAAGCTTTGAGACTGGTGGCACCGATAAAACGGTGGCTTCGAAATAACTAGGCCAAAGGAAACTTTAAAAACCGTTTTCTGCGCACAGGGCCATATAATGCATTTCCTACGCACCACATACAACATGAAAATTTGCAAAAAACTAAAAGGGGCTAGATTTCAAACTATACTTACTTCCTTCTTAAGTTCATTGAGGCCATGACCGATTTTCAATATACTCAGTTCCAGCTCTTCGGCGATGCTTTTGGTTCTCTTGCTTTGCTAAAAAATTTAAAGTGTGTAGGGTTACCTCATCTTTTTCATCTGGTGACTGCAACTTTACTTGCACTATACCTCTTAATAAATTTTTAATATCATTCTATGCACTATAAGAAAAGTAGATTTTAAAAATCCACCTGTTTAGGGTTAGAATAGAAAATAGAATTTTAAGTAGTTATATTTTCCCACTCTAACTATAAACAGGTTAATTTCTAAAAATCTAACTTTCTTTAATAAAAATGTATTGTGTCTAAAACTAAACTATTTATCTCATCACTCTGGACCTAGTTAAAATAAAACGCGACTCCTCTTCAAGGCCTTACGTAAGCGGCTCTTTCTCAGCCAGACCCTCTCAGGTCGCACATCTCAATGAGGCCCTCTTTGTCCCCCCTCTAGCCTTCGCTCTGAGTAACCGTCCCACATACTGACTTTTAGATTTGTCTGTCTGTCTGTCTAATGTCTATCTTCCCCGCCAGGCCTTGGTAAGCTCCGTGAAGGCTGGGATCACATTTCTTTTGCTCGCCACTGAATCCACAATACCTGGCACAGCAAAGGGAAGGTAGTAAGTATTCAGTTCTTTGAATGAACAAATCAAAGTTAAATGTCAATATCCTCAGGAAGACATCTTGATTCCTCTCCCTAAATAAAAATCCATCTTCCTTCAAGGCTTCTCAGTACACGGTCTGTACCTTCTCTCTGGACACTTACAAAGCTCTCTGTGCTTGCCTCGCCCCTTCCCACATTTTTCTACACTGCAAAATTCTTGCAGGCAAAGATGTGACCTTCGTCATCGTTAGACTGCCAGTGCCTGGCACATAAAAGACGCTCGGTCTTTACCACTCTTACCCAGATAAGCGCCCAGGTTTTAAGCATACCAGCCAGCAGCCTATTTAAGGCTCTGTAAGAGGCTGCCCACCGATCTCAGACTAGGAACCTGTGCGAGGGTGAGAAATCCTGCACCAGGCAGCTGGATCTACCCTCGTCTTCGTTGCCTCTGGGCCTCAATGAGTTTCTAAATCGTGCCTGTAAATCAGCTGTCCTCAGAGTTAAGAACTGTGCACATCTGAGTGGCTCCGGCGTAAGACCCGGGTGCCGAGAACCTCTAGGTGGGGGTCTCCTTCTCTGCCTTCACTCTGCAGAAGCATTCTGGGGAGGAATGTTCCCGAGGTGGGTTTGGTGACCTAGTGACGGTGACGGTGGCGCAGACTCCACCCTGGCCAGGATGAGAAACGGGCCTGGAAATGTTAAGTCCTGCGAGTGCTGGGTGGGCCGCAAGGCTACTTTGGCCAAGTAGGAGGGAGGCGAGGAACGAAACAGCCTCCCCTCCCTCCGACCACACTCACGTCCCCGGTCACAGGGTTAGCCTCCACATCTCTCAGAGCTGCAGGGGAAAGTTAGCGGATAAGATTAACTCCGATGAAAACAGGTTCTTACAGCCTGGACCCACACAGACGTCAGCTGCTGGAGCTCCGCCCTCGCCTGCGCTGACAGCCCCAGGATGCGCTCCCTGTGCTCGTGGCTGGTGTAGGCAGAGTCCGTGAAGTCCTCCGTGCGCTCCAAGACCGCCTCCAGCGTCGCACACAGGTTCTCTTTCGACTGAAAATACAGATTCTCCCGAAGAGCCTCAATATTCATCTGAGAACAGAGAGGACACACATCCACATGAGTCGGTGTTCCCACCGCACCAAACTGGACTGTAGCTGCCAGCAGTGCCCAGGGAGACGCCAGCAATTCCCTGCCCTGTCTGAGGGCTCGGGGGAGATGACCACAGTCCCCACTAACTGGGAGGACAGTGCTCAGGAGCCACCGATGGCCCTGCACAGCCTCGTTCCCATAGCTGTTAAGGCAGCATTCCTGTGAGACCAGTGAACGCAAAGGCAGAAAGAGCATTATCATGTAGCAACCGGTAGGAAAATGAACCAGCCTCCAGGCAAAGGACCTGCACCTGAGAAAATGCTGAGGCAAAGTCCTAGAAACGCTACACCCAAGTATGCATATGTACTGAGCCCAGGGGAAGGGTGTGGAGGGTGGAGGGTGTGGGAAGGACTGGGAAAGGCATCAATTCTTCCTTAATTAATTCAGCAAAACCCTACCAGTCACTGAACTGGTCTCCCTACATTTTGCCTTATGTCCCCAACGGCACCTCCCTAACCAAAACATCCTTTATCAGGGGGCCTGTGTAACCTTTCTTAAAGGGTAAAACTTCTGATATTGCCACCTCCCTCGAATGGGCTCCTCACCACCTATAACATTAAGCCCGAACTTGTGTTGTAAAACACAGAAATTCTCCAGGGTCCTGCCTTTATCACCTCTCAAACAAGCTACGTCACCCCCACACTCACTTCAGCCACCTGGTGCTTAGAGATCCTTCACTGTGGGACAGTGTTCCCTGGGCAAGCTTCCTCCCTGTTTCTAAGACATGCTGTGCCACCTCAACCTGATGCAACCTCTAGCCCATGACATATGTCACAGAAACAACGGGGGCCAGGAGGCAGCAAGTGGTGATGACCGAGACTGTGGGCACAATGAAGGTGCTGAGTAGAATGGCCTACGTTCCTTTGGCACTTTGAAGTCCCTTCACAGATACTATTTCAAGCTAATCCTTACATGTGACCCATGAACATACTAAGAGTTAGGAAGACCAAGAGCCACAGGGTCCCTGTCGGGTGTGGCTCAGTGGGCTGAGCACCATCCCAGGCACCAGGAGGTCGCTGGTTTGATTCCCAGGCACACGGCCAGGCTGCGGGTTCAGCCCCAGCAGGGGGTGTGCAGGAAGCAGCTGATGTTTCTCACTCTCCTTCCTTCTCCTCTCCTCTCTCTCAAATCAATAAAAACGAGCCACAGGGGCCTGCCTGCTGCCCGCTGTCCCTTCCCTTCCAGTATCACTCCATCATAGGTGGACAGGGCTTTTTTTAAAGCTAGGAAAGAACATGGATAAAGGTGAGGTATGAAATGGACAATGAGGATCTAAGAATTTGAGAATTTGAACAGAACTACAACATAAAAATCAGCCAAGCTGACCACACCATTTATGTTAAGTTTTTTTATTTCTCTGTAGAGAGAACATAGACACGTTTTTAAATAGTAACTTAGCGCTATTTTTTGAAGGCCATTCATTGTTACGGTTTCAAAAGATCTGCCCACATACTCACAGTACCAAATACAGTAAAAGTCTTCCTTCTACAGATTATACTCTCCATGAGAAAATAGTAAGGTGCCGAAAACATAACCACTGGTAGCTATGGGCCCGGTTGCCGGTCAGGGCACATACAGGCAGCACCCAATGATGCATAAGTAAGTGGAACAACAAACTGATGTCTTTCTCTCTCTCCCCCTCCTCCCTCTCTCTCTAAAATCAATTTTTAAAAAAGATTATTTTTTTAAATGTGGATATAATAATATCCACCTACAAAGGAAATTGGAGATTAAGTCTTTATTAAGAGCACAGCTCCTAAAAATAAAGGTCCTTTCACCCCATGTTCCTGCTTCGACCTTCACACAATTAAAGCTCAAAGCGGGACGGCAGCAGGGTAGGTGGAAGTTACACTCAGCTCCTCCCAGGACCAAACCGGAAACACAACTAAATTACAGACCGACCAACCTGAAAAGTCAAAGTGCAGTGAGATGAAAACGGCGCCAGTCCTGTCGCAGCCCGGCCTACTAGAGAGGTGGTAACCCTCAGGCACATTAGATAACTTCCTGGGGCCCTAGTTTTCCCATCTGATGAATACGGGGTTGTGCTAGATGATTTCCTAGGACCCTCCTGACTCAGGCACAGCTCTTACCCAAAGAGCAGCCTCGCCATCTCTGACTTCTGATGAGAAGTTCTAACCTAAATGATGGGAATTCTGGAGTCAGACTTGCTAGTTTCAAATCCCAACTCTGGCACTTCCTAGCTGGCAAGTATATGTAATCCCTGTTTCTCAGTCTCCTCAACAGCCTACGGTAGAAGAACAATAGTTCTTGTGAGGATTATACATACAAATACATTTAAATAACACAGACCAGGGCTGGCACAGAGTAAGTGCTCTACAAATGTTAGCATGTATACTGTTCATTTAAAAATTTTAGTTATCATAAATACTACTACTACTGGCTCAAAATATCAATCCTATAGCCCAGGGAAGAGCAGGAATTCCAGCAGGAATGATGTGCTGTCTGTCACCACCCATGGATGGTGCAGCGCTGCTCCAAAGGCTTGCTTAGGGACAGGCTTCTAACAGGTGACAGGAGGCCACAGCCAAACCACACAGCTAATCGGGGCCAGAGAAGCTGCCGTAACCCAAGGCCAGTGTTCTTCGTATATACCACGCTAAGCCAAATGTTACTGATCACTAAGTCTGTGCCTCATGGCATTTTTAAAAGAGGAATATCTGCTTTCATGAAGCATCTATTCTGAAATATTACACAAAAATAAAGATATTCCATATAGCAATGCTCCTTTAAAATGGAAAGAAAAAAATCAAAATACATTCTCTTTGCTCTTACCTTGAATTGCTTAATTCCGGTGAAAATACTGATAGCTGCAATGTCAGTCTCTCCACTGGGTTTGCAGTCAGTCACAATTTCAATGACCTTATCCAGTGCCACTTTCATTCGATCAAATACCCCTTCCTTGTTTTTATGGGCAGATTCGCAGTTGGGATGCCGGAGACACGTCTTCAAAACAAGTGAAGCTTTTTATTTTAAGATCTGATCGGCATCCTAACACACAAAATCTTACAGAGAACATGTCATGCTAATAAAAATGGTTCTTTACCAAAATCTCCCGGGTCCCTGGCTCCCCCAGCTGCTTCTCCTCACTAAAAGTGGACGCAGGGTGAGTAAAAAGCGATAGCAAGGTTAAGAAAAAAGGCAGAGTGCAGAACTGTATCTTTATACTTCAATCATCAGTTTACTTCAAGTTTTTTTGGGGGGGAAAAAAACCCTCTATCTTTATCATGATTAAAAATGTTTTTATTTTTAAATGCTGTCTTACGTGTGTAAGAACTAAAAAAGAATGCGGAAAAATGATCAGATGATATATGACTGTGGATGTGTGTTTGGCTTTGAAAAAGTGATGTAAATGCAGAACTACTCAAGGGCCGGATACAGACAGAGGCTGCCAAGTGGGCTCCAGTGAAATCTGTTGCTGTGGCCTTGATGATCCCAGAGAGTCAATATTCTGAGCAGAAAAGGCAATTCTGAACACATGGCTAAGGAGACGTTGACTAGTTCATTCTTGAATCGTACCAATTTGCTGGCCAACTGCTGTTTGGAATTACAAGCTCTTGATTGACAGTTGTGCTTATAGTAGGATATGGAATTAGAGATATGAATTTACAGAATAAACAAAGTAAGGGCTGACTTAGTACTCCGCTGCTGCTTAACAGATTCTAACTTGCCTCGCCTGTGCTGGAGATACGTGCGCTGGCTCCCCAGCGAGACCAGCAAAGCCCCACAGGCAGTGACCATGTGGGACAGGCCTGCATTCCCAGCACCTCATACAAAAGCTTCTGCCTCGGTGCCCAAGCAAAAGCAGACTCATAGATTAATTGCTGTTTGGAACCGGGGAAGAAAGTTAGCGTTCTTGCTGAAGAACAGATTGGACTGTGAGAGCCTATATTCCAATTGATCACTCTGAGCTTTTTGAAAATGTAAAATATATACATCAGATGCACCGAATCAGGTTCTCTAATTTACAACAGTGAAACAAACACTGTTCTTACCTTTGAGGCTGTGAGCAGCATCATGGTGCACTTTTCAAGGACGGCCCTCGCTGCTGCCATCTTTGCCTTTTTCTTTTCATCTTTTAGATCCTAAGAAGGAAATGAAATCACTGAGTGGCTAGGATCATGTGAACAGTCCAGTTTGTTGAAAAATCACTTACTTGGCAATGACAATACTCAACAATGATGTGACATGGTTAAAAAAGTGACAAAGTGAAAAAAAGACAGAATAAAGGGGTCCCCTCTTCACTCTAGCTGCATGAACAGAACAGAGTGGATGAAACAGGCGCCCTAATTTAGGGCGGCAGAGCCAGGGCCCGGGCCCGAGGGGGAGGCTGCCAAGTGGCTCACATTCTGGTGGCCTGCCACGCCTGGCATTCCTGTGCGCTTGGGGACACACCTCACTCCTAACCAGAAACAATCATCTCATGCTTTACTTAAGTAAAACGGACTTATTTATTGAGCACCTGTGGGCTATTATTTCTTTCACAATAGAAACTTAGAAGTCAACTCTTTCAGGGACCATAGCTGATTAATCCCATCGAAGTACTTATTTGTCTCAACACGAGGTTTGTTTGTCCTAAACTTAACCAACACGCTGCTCCGAAACGTTTTTAAGATGTTTCATAGATGTATCATCTGCCAACTGGATTAGGAATCTGAAGCAAGAGCTGTAGTTTGAGTTTTTTCTTTTGGTTTCTCTTCACAGCGGCCTCGCCGGAATGTGCGCTGTCACAGAAGGACCGAATGTTGCTTACCAAATCTAGAACCAAGTATTCCTCATAACAATTTGGTTCTGACCATCTAAGCCAGAGGTCAGCATGTGTTTTCAATAAAAGGCCAGGTAATACAATTTTTAGGCTTTGTGAACCACACAGTCTCTGTCACAACTACTTAATTCGATCGTCGTGTGAAGGCTGTCCCAGGCAATACATAAACAAAGTAGCACAGCTGTGTTCCAATAAAACTTTACTTGTGGACACCGGCATCGGAATTATATACAATTTCGCCTGCCACATCAGTCAGTCATTCTTCATGTGTGAGCTGAGCGACAAGCCCTTTCTAACAAATGACAAAGGCCTAAAGTTTGAGAATGATTTGCCCTTTATCTGTTTCAGTAAATTACTATAGTAGATTCAAAGTTATCCCTATAATATCACGCTCATTCACTTGCCTCCCAATATAGCTTTCCTCAATAGAGGAGAAACCGCTCACAAACCAAAAGTTAATTCATGTCCCAAGATCACATCCCAAAGGATGGTTCCTACCTATGAATATCATCTATCATGAGAATCCATCAAAATTAAAGTTGAGGTCACTTCTAAAATTCCTACTTTGTCTTTAACATACTGAACAGGACTTTTTGCAAAACAACCTGTGGGTCTAGCTGACAAAGCATCACGCGTGTACGCCTCATATAACACGTATAAGCCAGAGTGACAACGTACAGTGTATGGCGATGACCAGTGATAGCAAAAGATGGCACCTCAATCTCTCAGAGGGCTGGTCCACAGGACAAAGCGGAGGCTTCCATGAAACCCAGGCGGTCCAAGCAGCACTAAGGGAAGCATCGCAATCTGGTCTGGTACTTTCCAGGCCAATATCCATCTCCCAACTCCAGCTACAACTGGAAAGTTCACACCCTAGACCACAGCCTGCAGGACTGTATCAGAGCACATCTACAAAAGGTCAATTATTGTATATTCTACCTGCTGCCTAGATAGACTCATGCTCGGGGACCCCAACAGGGAAAAGTCAGCCCTGGATATACTGTGGTCCTCCACCTTCCTAAACTTCAGAACTTACGGTCTGAATTGAGGAACAGACCTATGAAGAACTAATATCATGGTTTAGTTTGAAAACTACAGGCTTTAGAATCAGACATAACTGAGCTCAATCTGCTAAAACAGTGACCTTGGGAAAGTTTATTATGCTCTCAGGTCCAGTTTCCTCTCGTGTAACAGCAATAACAATACCTTCTTCACAGGCGTGTTTTGAGAATTAAGGGAGATTGTGGATATTAAGTACCTAACACGTAGCCGATGCAAATAAATAATGGCTTGGGTTATTACTACTGATCTAATGTAAAATAATTACAGAAAGATATAGTAACAGAAAAATATATAACAAGTCACAGAAAGAATAATAACGAACCTATAACAAAATACTGTAAGAATATATATGACTTATTTATTTGCCTGAGCCCTGGTTAAGGAGTCAAATGGCAAGTTTCACAACAGAGGGAGCACTTGAGTTGGGCCTTGAAGGCAGGTCTGACCTTTCCCAGTGTGTGAGACGGAAACAGAGAACTGTCACATGTGCACAAAAAAGCAAGCATGTATTTGAAAACTTTAAAATGTGGTAAATACATACATTTTGTCTATCTCCAGTGAGATGTGCAAACTCCACCATTTCATTTCCAAAGTGACTGAATATTTGGACAAACTCTTGAAAGCTGTTCACTTTCTCCAGTCTTTCCATAGTTGCAAGAACCTGCAAAACAGAGACTATTTTATTATCAGATGTAGGCGTGAAGAAGACTCAGAGGCCAAGGCTGAGACGAGGGGGAAAAAGAGAGAAATTTAAATTCTGGGGGAGAGCAGAGGAGGCGTCAGAGAGGAAGACGGAAAGTGGGCTCGGAGAAGCAGGAGATGCGAAGGTGAGAACTATCGAGGGGGTGATTCGTTTTCAGGGTGCGGAGACTTGGGCTCACTTGAAAACTGAAAGGAAAAAGAGTAAAAGAAATGACTAATGTACAAGAGCATATACAAGAAAAGATCCAGGAGAAGAAATCACGTATGTAGGGAGCTCTGGAGAAGGTAGGGCTACGGTGACCCAGTCTTCGGAGGGCAGAGGGGGCGAGGGTCGGAGACGCAGGCAGAAGCTTCAGGGCTGAGCCCGTCGGAACCGGGAAGGCCCGTTCCTCCGGGGACATGGGAGGGGGATGTGCAGGCCGCGGAGAGGAAGGCGGCTGGGGGGCTTCAGGAGCAGGGAACCAGGGCGGGTCCACAGGGACTGCCAGCGTTAAATAAACTAATTGCCAAGCGGCTCTGGGCAGCCGGGGGTGCACAGGGACAAGAGCCTGTGGCAGAGCCAACAGGACACGTCACGCGTATTCTTGACATTAGATTCCACACAGTGAACAGATGTGAAACGTAGTCTCAAATACTTTTCCTTAAAATAACACTGCTGGATTAGTTTCAGTCGGACCAAGCGAGGGAAAGAAAACACAGATATCCTGTGTTTACTCATTTTTAACGAGGATGTGATGGGTGTTAATCTGCCCTGGCGGCTCGGGAAGTGCAGGCGAGAGCGCAGATAAGGCAGGTCGCCGCCCTGAGCAGACCCGCCGTCCTCCAAAGGGAGGAAGGTTCTTTTCTATTCCTCTAGCATTGCCCGGTCCAGTCACCTCTCCAGGTTCTTCTTCTCTTTAAACATACACTTCTGATTCACTCCACACCCGTCAGGTAGCTTTTCCCTTAAGTGCTACTGGGCCTGTCCCTTCCCTGGCTAATTGCCTTCCTGCTTGCCTAGTGAATTACCAGGGAAAGAGGTGACTGTCTGCCCCCCGACTTCCCCCTGACTGAGGATCACCATTATCTGAGACGCCGGAACAGTTTAAATCTATTCCCTATGTCTTGTAATTATTCAGTAATATTTAGGGACTTTGCATGGAGAAAGTCTGTAGAGTGGGTAAGCTTATAAATTGTTACTCCTGCCCAGCCGGTGTGGTTCGGTGGTTGAACGTCAACCTATAGCCAGGAGGTCAGGGTTCGACTCCAGATCAGGCACATGCCCGGGTTGCAGGCTCGATCCCCAATGGGGGCCGTGCAGGAGGCAGCCGATCAATGACTCTCTCATCTTTGATGTTTCTCTCTCTCTCTCTCTGAAATCTATAAAAACATATTTTTAAAAAATTGTTACTCTCTAACTTGGGAAAAAAAGGCACTGAGGAATCAGTATTTTTATCAACTAGGTTTCTACTATATACATTGTCACGGTGTTCAGCTTTTCTTTCCGAATTTGTACACATAAAAGGCTTTCACCAATAAGTCTCAATAAGTACATAATAGTTTTCTAAGAAAATGTTTAGGCCCAGTACTCACATCATTTAGGAATTATAGGAATAGAAGAAACACCACTTTCAAGCTATAGACAATTAGTTATAAACAACTGAAATAGACAAGCATTGCCAAATTACCTGCAATTAAACCTAAAAAAACAACAACAAAAAACTTTTTGAACAACCCTTTAAGATCCGGTAGAGAAACAGCAGAAAGGCAAGTACCTTATTTCTCGATGTTATTATCTGCTTGATGACCACTCGGTCTGCCAGCAGCAACACTTTTGTCACTGAAGAAAGAAGTAATCTCGCAGCCTTTATAACTCCTGTTTTGTCTGTAAAAATTGTGATCTGGCCTCCAGATTCTGGGCGACTCAAGCTGCTTACATCTGTCAGTGCTGCGATCGTTTCTCCTAACAAGAAAGGCAAGGGAGAGATGTCAAATTGGTAATTACACTTGAATTAAAATCCAGACTTTTCTCCAGTCTCAAAGGTAATGTGCACAGTGGGCAGAAACTCAGCTCCAGAGTCTTCTTTCAGGAACAAGAAACAGCTGCTCCGGGATGAGTACAAAGATGAACATATGAAGCTCTCTACTGACAAAATAACAGCACGTTCTTAAGAATCGTGACAAATTTTTCTCTTTACCAAGTTTGAAAACGATTATAACTTCAGATTCCAGGGGTATGGCAAACTGCCTGATTTTAAAAGCCTCCTGTTCTCCAAACAGTAGAGAAACCCCAGGAGCCAGTCACCAAAGACTAACCTAAAGGTAGAGCAGTGAGCGGCTGCTAAGGCTTTGGCCGGGGTGGCGGATGGAGGGGGATGTGTGGGGGGTGTCACGGCCCATCTCCCTCACCTAAAGGCACCTGAGTCGTTATGAACACCCAGGGAGAGAAGACAGGGCTTTGGGCCCCAACGAGAAGCATCCTCAGTGAAAAGGGGCCCTAGAAAAATTATCCACAGGCAAAGGGAAACAATAAGCGAGTTCATCTGTTGGCCAGCTTGGGCTCTGGGTGGAAAAGCAAAGCTAAAGGAAAGCGTCCCTCCTGAGAATTCAATCCGCAGGCCGCCCCTCACTCAGGCTTGCTGTTTGAACTGGTATTTCTTACGACACCCAGCATGAACCTTTCTACCAAGTGAATTCCCACCCCTCCAGAAAAAGCTCTTCACTTTTGCTATCAAAACCTTTTGACCTTTAATAGCAATGATCAATCAATAAAACAATACCAATATCGGTTCCACTCAAAAATGGAACCAGCATGTACATTTTTTCTAAACCTCACTTTTAACTTAAAAAAAAACAACAACTTTTAATCAACTTGTAATGTTCTAGATAATTTTTTAAGTCCTAAATAAAGCTGAGTGCATAATGGATTGATTTTCTCACAAAAGCAGTCTTTGTCAATGATATTACATGCGCCCACAAGGAATCCGCCTACGAGCTAAAGATCTTGAGTGAAAGTACCTGAACTTTAATGGACAGAGCACAGGGTGCTAGGTAATAAAAGTCAAGGTTAGGACGATCAGCCTGGTGGAAGCATATAAAATAGACCTGAGAGGAAAGACTGACAGTCAGGCTACTAATCCGACAGCTATTTCAACTGTGGGTATGAAGAAGGATCTTACTAGGATGGAAGCCATAGGAATCTTTAAAAATAAAAATAAAATAAAGAGTTAATTTGGGAGATACTGAGAAAAGAAAATATAAAGTTAGTACCTGAATAGACAAGAAGGAAAGGAAAAGTGAAAAGAAAAAAAAATGGCCACAAGGTTGTGAACCAAAGTTACTTAAAATCAGAAAGGCATGGCATGGGAGATGATTGATTTAGCTTCAGACAAGTAGGCTAAGATGCTCCTCAAAGACGGAGTGGAGTCCATGCCTCACACTCCTCCACCTCTCACATTTCAGTGCTGATGGTGGTAGTCCCTACCCTGCCCAGAAAAAGAGTTCAATGTTTCAGATTTAAGACTCGAGCCACGAGAAGTTCAATAGTCCTAGAAGCTAATCCTGGCCTTTAATGTCCCAGGCACCTGTAATCATAGGGCCAAATCATAGTGCACATCTTTACTCAAAATGAGACAATAATTTGTCATCATATCCAAAGCAATACAACTGGCATAAACAGGCTTCGCTATCAACATCCACATACCTGCTTGTTTAGCTTCAATACAGGCAATATTTATTTCTTCTTTCAAATCCCGGTTTTCATTGGCTATAGCTTCCCCTACTTTAACAAATCTTCCAACTGCCAAGTTGACGGCTTGTCCTACTCGCTGAATGGCTTGCAGAGTCTTATCAGACTTTTTGGTATTATCTTTATGATTAATAAGGGTGGTAATCTAAAAATAAAAAATAAGAGCAATCTGTTTAAATTTTATCGCAATATCTTATTTTTTTTAAGCTATATCATGAAGGCCAAGTACATTAAGTTTGGCATACTGGACTAGCCACAGACTAAATTGATAGTTTAATGCTTCAACCAAGAGGCAGGACAATGCCTCCATTGATAACAATTCCAAGTTCACAAAAGGGCAGACATCTGGGGCAAACAGTTCCAGAAGCCCTCCAGATATTTCAACAAATCTTCAGGACAGGAGAAAAGAAGGAGAGGGTAGATCCTTACATTCAAAAAGTCCACAGAAAATCAAAGCACTTCAGGTCTAGGTTCTTCTGCCATGACTTGAGCTGCTATGAGAGTAGACAGCATCTTTTTTTTAATTTTATTTCTTGATTTTTAGAGAGAGAGGAAAGGGGGGAGAGAGACATCGATTTGTTGCTCCACCCGTTGGTTGATTCCTATATGTGCCCTGATGGAGATCGAACCCGCAACCTTGATTGTTAGCGGGACAAAGCTCTAACCAACTGAGCTGCCCGGCCAGGGCTGGAGACAGCATCTTCACCTTGCATTCCTCTCCGTTGCCTGGCGCAGGTTCATAGCTTATACAAAATGGCATGTGTGCCATACATGTTCACTGAATTAAACAGATACCGAGAATGGCCATTACAATCTAAATGTTCTATGCTACTCCCAGTTTTGTTGAGGACTCAAAATAAATGAAATACCAAGAATCTGAACATTTGGTTCCAGGCCCTAAAATAAAACATGACAAGTTAAGGTGGCTGAAACAAAGATAAATCTTCAAATGTCTTACAAAATTAGCACATGAACTTTGCTGACATATAAAAACACTTAAAGAATGTTACATAAAAAATATAGATCCCAAATAGTACATTCCACAGAGCATAACTTTGAAATGATTTATATAAATATATTAACAAAGACCAGATAGAGAATTAAGAGAAGAGGAAAGGAATCACTATTATTATGTGCCAAGCATTTTATATGTTATAGTATTAATAGTTTAGAATCAGGAAGGCCTGGGTGTGAGCCTTAAACTCTGTCATTACTAGCTAAATGACCTAGGGAAATTTATCTAATCTCTCTAAATTTCCTCATCTGAAATACTGTTTTTCAAATTTTAAGTATTTCTTAGATACCAGGTCCTGAGGATGCATCTGTACAATCCTCCCTCCATTTGGTTAGCAGTCTAGTAGAGTAACAATAATTCAATCAAACAAAATATATTTGTTGCACACCTATCATATGCCAACTAAAATTCTAAGCAATGAGCCTGGCAGCGTGGCTCAGCAGTGGAGCGCCGACCTGTGAACCAGGTCACAGCCGGAGTCCCGGTCAGGGCACATGCCCATGTTTCAGGCTCCATCCCCAGTCGGGGCGTGCAGGAGGCAGCTGATTAATGACTCTCTCATCATTGATGTTTCCATCTCTCTCTCCCTCTCCCTTCCTCTCTCCGAAATCAACAGATATATTTAAAAATAAAAAATTCTAAGCAATGATGAAACAGCAATGACCAAGAAAGGCCCGTGCTTTCATGGAGCTTACATTCTCGCATCAGGGGAGACACAATAATCACATATCTAGGTAAACAAAAAAAAAATTTAATATAAATGCTATGTAAAATACTAAAATAGGGCAATGTGATAGAAAGTATACGTGTAGCTTCGATTAGTTCATCTTTCTTCATTGAGAAAATGATATTTAAGCTGAAATGTACATGATATCAAGTAGCCAAGCTGGCAAACTTCAGGGAAAGAGCATTCTAGGGAGAAGAAACGTCGTTTTAAAAAAGGGGGAGGTGCCCTAAGGAATGAAGTAAGACCAGAAGTGGTTAAAGAACGGTGGGCCAGAGGGCAAGTGTAAGACCGATACCCAACAGGTAGGCATGGGCCAGCTATTAGGGCCGCGAGTTGGAGTAAAGAGCTTGTATTTTACTGGAAGTGTGACAGAAGCAGGAAAGTGAGACTCTCTAGTGGTTCTGATGTGTGTCCACATTCTTCGATATTTCACCTTTCTCGAGGCAGAGCTTCATCGCTCTTTCCTTGGTTTGGGCTGAACTTCGAATAAAGCAGGAGTGATAGGATGCTACTTCTGAGGGCAAGTGCTAAGGGCTCTTTGGGTTCCATCTTACTCCCTCTCTCTGAGATCATTCACTCCAGGGGAAGCCAGTTGCCATGTCGGGAAGACAACTGACCAGCCTGACGGGCACTGAGGCCTCTGACCAGCAGCTGCATTGGATCTGAGGCCTCCTGCCAACAGACACACGAGTGAGTGGTCTGGAGCCACCCAGGTGAGTCACGCCCAAATTCCTGACACACAGAAACCAAAATAAGAAATGCTTGTTGTTGTAAGCCATTAATTTTGGGGTAATTTATTTTGCAGCAGTAAATAACTAATGCAATCCCAAATGTACGTTTTTAAAAAGAAGAGTCTCTTCTGGGGAAACAGTAGATTGTTAAAGTGGCAAAAGTAGGACCAGGGAGACCAGCTAGAAAGCTGCTGCAATAGTCCAGGTGAAAGATGACACTGGCTTGAAACAAGGTGGCAATAGTCAAGATGGAAGAAAATGGACTAATTGGGGAATGTCTTGAATATACATAACTTGCTTAATAGATTAGATTGGTGTTTATCAGAGAAGACCTCTAAATCCCTGGCATGAGAAATGGGGTACATTAACATAGCATTAGCATCTCTGGCAGGCAGAAATAATGTTTTGCATAAATAACCTAATTCAGTCCTCACAATAATCTTAGGACCTAGGCACTACTTTATGCCCTTTTTACACGTAAGGAAACTGACATTAAAAGATGCCCATTTAAGGTCACACACCCATTAAGTGGTAAAGCCAAGATTCGGTCAGATAACCTGAAGCCACACTTTGTCCAGCTTTACTGAGATATAGTCAACATAAAACATTGTGTAAGTTTGTGTACCATGTGACGATTTGATATATGTTCAAATGCTTCCACAATATATTGCAAATGATTACAAGAGAATCAATTAACACCTCCATCAACTCACATAATTTTTGTGTGTGTGTGGTGGAGAGAACATTTAAGACCTACTCTCTTACTGACTTCCAAGTATACAATGCAGTATTGTTAACTATAGTCACCATGCTGTATGTTAAATCCCTAGAATTTATTCATCTTATAACTGGAAATTTATACCCTTTGACCAACATCTCTCCATTTCCCCCACCATCCAGCCCTTGGCAATCACCATTCCACACTTTTTTTTCTATGAGTTTGGCTTTTTTGGTTTCCATCCATAAGTGAGGTCATAAGGTGTTTGCCTTTTCGGTCTGGCATTTCATTTTAGCATACTGCCCTCGAGGTCCATCCATGTCGTCGCAAATGGCAGGATTTCCTTCTTTCTCAAGGCTGAATATTATTCCATTGTATATTTGTACCACACCTTCTCTATCAATTCACCCATAGAGGGACACTTAGCTTGTTTCCATAGCTTGGCTGTTGTGAATAACGCTGCAGTGAACATGGGGGCCCAGATAGCTCTTCAAGATCCTGATTTCATTTCCTTTGGGTATATTCCCAGAAGTGGGACTGCTGGATCATTTGGTAGTTGTTTTTAATTTTTTGAGGAACCTCCATACTGTTTTGCATAGTGGCTGTGCCAATTTACAATCCCACCAACAGTGCACAAGGGCTCCCTTTTCTCCACAGCCTCACCAACACTTATCTCATCATTTTGATAATAGTCTATTCTAACAGGTGCAAGGTGATATCTCATTGTGGTTTTAATTTGCATTCTCCTGATGATTAGTGATGCTGAGCATCCTTTCATGCATCTGTTGGCCATTATGTGTGAGTATTCTTGGCTGCCTTATAAAAAGTATATGCATATATATATAAATGTGTGGGCTTATTTCTGGGCTCTCAGTTCTGTTCCCTTGGACTATGTAGCTATTTTTATGCCAGTGCCATACTGTTTTAATTACTGTAGCTTCGTAGTATAGTTTGAAATCAAGTCGTGTGATGCCTCCAGCTTGTTCTTCTTTCTCAGTATTGCTTTGGCTAGTTGTGGTCTTTTCTAATTTGATACAAATTTTAGGATTGTTTTTCTATTTCTGCAAAAAAATGCCATTAGAATCTTGGTAGAGATTGTCTTAAATCTATAGATGGCTTTGGGTAGTATGGACAGTTTAATAATATCAATTTTTCTGACCGATGAACATGAGTTATCTTTCATTTACTTGTATCTTCTTATAGTCTTTCAGTGTTTTAGAGTTTTCAGTGTACAGATCTTTCACCTCCTTGGTTAAATCTATTCTTAAGTAATTTACTGTCTTTGACGTGATTGTAAAAAGAATGTTTTTCTTTCTTTCTTTTTCAGATATTTTGTTGTGAGCATATAAAAACTGATTTCTGCAAGTTAATTTTTTAAATTAAATGTATTGAGGTAACACTGGTTAATAACATTATATAAATTTCAGGTATGCATTATAATTTGATATCTGTATACTCTATTGCATGCTCACTACCAAAAGTCTAGTTCCCTTCCATTACTATAGGAACCAAGAAGAATCTTCAAGCAAGGGATGACATGCTACCTTTATTTTCTATTTTTAAAATTTTATTTTTAATTATAGTTGACTGTATGTTGATTTTTTTTTTTTTTAATCTTGCAACTTTACTGAATTTATTAGTTCTAACAGTCTTTTAGCGGAGTCTTTAGGATTTTCTATATATAAGGTCATGTTATCTGCAAATAGAGGCAATTTTAACTTCTTCATTTCCCATTTGGATGCCTTTTTATTGCCTGATAGCTCTGGCCAAGATGTCCAGTACTATGTTGAATAGGTGTGGTGAGAATGGGCATCCTTCTCTTGTTCCTGATCTTAGAGGAAAATCTTTTCAGCTTTTCACCATTAAAGATGATGTTAGCTGTGGGCTTCTTATATATGGCCTTTACTATGTTGAGATATGGTCCTGCTATACCCAATTTGTTGAGAGTTTTCATCACGAAAAGATGTTAAATTGTGTCAAATGCTTTTTCTGCATCTATTGTGATAATCATGATCTTTTTTCTTTCATTCTATTAATGTGATGTATCACATTTATTGCTTTGCACAGGTTGAACCATCCTTGCATCCCAGGGATGAATCCCACTTGATCATGGTACATGCTCCTTTTAATGTGCTGTTGAATTTGGTTTTCTAGTATTTTGTTGATACAACCCAGGCACGTGCCCTGACCAGGAATGGAATCAGGGACCTCTTGGTACATGGAACAACACTCCACCAACTGAGCCACACTG